CTGAGTCATTAGGCTGATTTGTTTTCTTATATGATTCACTCTCCGGCTGCGCAAGCTCATCAGCTTCTTTAGATGCATTTGGACTAATTGGCGCGTAATCTTCCACAACTTCGACTCCTCCTGGAGCTAGATCTTCCGGGACTTCATAATCGGAATAATCATGACTATCCGTTGAGTTTTTTCCGGCAGGAGGCGCCGGAGGAGATTCTTCGGTGGTGTTTGACGTCGTTGTCGGTGGAGAAGGTAAAGATTTTTCGGCGGCGTAACTTCCACCGGCTAAATCAAGAGCTATGAGAAGAAATACAAGAAAGAAGTAATTAGCCATTTTATACGTTTACTATATCTATGAATAGGCTGATATATGTTAATCCGCTTCGTGAATGTGATGAGTGCGTGAGTTGTAATTAAACGAAAAACTTGATGTAAGCTTCGATTTCGTAATGAATATATATGCCTAATTTATGATAATTATATGAGTAAATGGTATAAGCTTATGGAGAAAGAAATTCTCTTTATGTATGTAATGATTTTCTCTATGAGATTACAGAGAAAGAGAAAGATCAATTAAGGAAACTGAAGATGATTGAATAAAAAAGAAAAGGGAAATAAATTGGGAATTTAAAGCTATTAGGAGATGGATATGTTTGGTAATTAAGCCCAGGTGTTTGTTTAAAGTTGTGTGTGTTTTTGTTTTGTTAGCCAAATTTGAATCATAAGCTGTTCTTTTTGTATATTGTTTTAAAGTTTTTTTAGAATACGGTTTAATATTAGCTTTAGTTTTTGTTTTTGGTTAAGTGACAATTTTAAACTGTATGGGTTGTTATTCTTTTTCGCCCCTCAACCGTAGGTTGTTTATTAAGAAGTAATGGACAAATTGATTGAAAAATTGTTAGACAAAAAAATCAGAATTGTAAGATGGAAACAAAACAAAATTGAAAATTTAGACAAGATAAAAACTTTCAGTTGATGACACTACATACTCGTTTTTGTTTTTGATGCTGGTCGAGAGTTTTTAGGTGTTGTATGTAAACTTTACACTTAACAAAACATGGTATATTTACTATTTTTTTACCGAACTCAAGCATGTTTAACATTTTCAAATACTTCAATCCATGTTTTTTTGAAATTTGATGAGCCCTAATTTCAATTATTATATGTCGTGTTGGAGTTCTTTTTTTTTTGTCCCATGTACGCAAAGCTAACACAAAATATTTTATTTTTTGTAACATCCAAATATTACGTGAAACAACGTGTTGTGAGTCTTGTGACGGCGTTAAAGATATCTAAGAACTTAAGCAAAGATATGAAAAGGAGGGATGGAGTCAAAGAGAGAAAGGTTTGATACAAGATTTAGGAGTTAGACATAAGTTTAATAGGGAAATT